CTCTAATTTAAAAAATTCAAATACTGATAGAAAAAGAAAAGGAATACCAAGAAACAATCCAAAAGTGAACTGAAAAGATAGATTTCTTACAGTGATCCATCTAAATTCAATTGCGTCCATTCTCCCGTGGGACAGGGGCAAGGGAGAAGTCGAAGAAGCTGTGGTAAGTTTGCAAAATGCTGCAAATCCACTTAGGGTTGTTTACTAACTTCTTCGCTGCTGGCTTCCTCTCCAGCTGTAGGGAACATAACAGAGAGCTCTAAACTCTAATTATTTTCCGCATGGATTCTCCCATGGGAATTCATGTTGTAATTCACTACTGTCCCTGTTGCCAATTTTAACCACAGAAGTCACAGAAATCTGCTATGGAAATGTTTGTGCTTCTTCCCATACAGGCTGACAAATAGCGGTCTTCCCTGACATATTTGGAAGAGTCATCAGAAATACCGGTGAACTGATGTGTCAGTTTCTTCCTGGGCCACAGGAAAAACATAAGAACAGGGCCTCCCTAATAGGTCAAAGCAAGTGCCAGGAAAGGGGAGCCGGAGAACAGAACAAGCAGATAGTGTCTTTTTTTTTTTTTTAATTAAACTTTTCTTTCTGAGGTCATTGTAAATGTACACGCAGTTGTAGGAAATAATACAGAGAGATCCTGTGTAGCCTTTACCCTGTTCCCCCAGTAGTAACATCTTGCAAAGCTATATTACAGTATCATAACCAGGATACCGACCATGATGCAGTCAAGATACAGAAGAGCTCCACCACCGTAAGTGTCCCTCATGGTGGCCTTTTATAGCCACATCTGCCTCCCTCCCTCCTTAACCCCCAGCAACCATTCATCTAACATTTCCATAAGTACAGCAGTACAGAATGTTGCATACATGGAATCATATAGCATGTACTCTTTGGGGATTTAATTCTCTACAGGCTCATCCAGGTTGTTGTGTGAATCAATCATTCTCTGTGTTGCTAAATAGTATTCCATGGTGTGAATGTACCACTGTGTGTTTAACCATTTACCTGCGGAGAACATCAGGCTTGTTTCCAGATTTAGGCTATTACTAATCAAGCTGCTATAATTGTTCATGGATAGATTTTTGTACGTAAGTCTCCATTTCTCTAGAATAAATGCTCAGGAGTACTATTGCTGGTTTCTATGGCAGCTGTATGTTCAGTTCTACAAGAAACTGCCATACTATTTTCTAGAATGAGTGGCTGTAATATTTTATATTCTCACCAATAATCTATGGGAGATCCAGTTTCTTCCCATCCTTGCCAACATTTGGTGTTGCCACTATTTTTTATTTTAGCCGTTCTTTTTTTTAGTATTTGTTTATTTTTGAAAGAGACACAGAGTGCAAGCAGGGGAGGGGCAAAAAGAGAGGGAGACACAGGTCCTCTCTGAAACAGGTCCCAGGCTCCCAGCTATCAGCACAGAGCCTGATGCGGTATCAAACCCAAGAACCAAGAGATCATGATCTGGGCCGATGTTGGATGCTTAACCCACTGAGCCACCCAGGTGTCCCATTGTAACCATTCTGATAGGCCTGTAATGATATTTCATTGTGATTTTAATTTGCATGTCCGTAATAGCCAACGCCATTGAGAATATTTTCATGTGCTTATTTGCCATCTATATATCTTCTCCGGTGAAATGTTTCTTCATGTATTTTGCCCATATTCTAACTAGATTGTTTGCTTTTTATACAAGTGAATTAGTTCATTATGTATTCTAGATACTAGTCCTTTGCAGGATATATGGTTTGCAAGTATTTTCTTCCATTCTGAGCTTGTCTTTTCATCCTCTTAACAGAGTCTTTCATAGAACAAAAGTCTTAGTTTTGCCAAAGTCCAATTTATCAACCTTACCTCTCTAGAACTGTTTTTTAATGTCAAGTCTAAGAACTCTGTCTCGCCATAGATTTTGAAGATTTTTCTCCTATTCTTTTCTAGAAATGTTATAATTCTATATTTTACACTTAAGTCTGTGATCTATCTTGAGTGATAAGGTGTAAGGTGGGTCAAGGTTCATTTTTTTCCCTATGGATATCCAATCACTCTATGATCATTTGTTAAAAAGGCTACCTTTTTTCTATTGACTTGCTTTTGCATCTTTGTCAGAAATCAGTTGGCATATTTACATGGGTTTTATTCTGGGTTCATCATGTTGTCCCTTTAGTCAACTGTCTACTTTCTACCAGTGCTGCAAGTCTTGATTACTATAGCTACATAAGAAGTCTTGAAATTGGATAGACTGATTTGTCCCACTCTATTCTTTTTCAAAATTGCTTTAGTTAACCCAACTTCTTTGCCTTTTCTCATAAATTATAACCTTATCTAATATCTAAAAAAGTAAGTCTCAATGAGATTTTGATAGGAATTGCATTAGATTTTTCTGTCAGTTTGGGGAGAATTATCATCTTGGCTATGCTGAGTTTTCCAATCCATGAATATATGCCTCTCCATTTATTTGGTTTGTTTTGATTTCTTTCAGCAGCTTTATGTAGTTTTCAGTATACAAATCCTGTACATGTTGTTAGACTTACACTCAAGGATGACTTTTTTTCTAAGCAGCTGTAAATGGTACAGTATTCTTAATTTCAGTGTCTACATGTTCATTGCTGGCATACAGAAATACATTTGACATTTGCACATCTATACTGTATCACGTGAATGTGTTAAACTCATTTATGAGTTCTAGGAGTTTTTTGTAGATTTCTTAGGATCAAGACAATCATATTGTTTGCAAATAGGAATGATTTTATTTCTTCCTTTGCATGTATGTGCCTTTTATTTCTTTTTCCTCTCTTATTGTCCTGGCTGAAATTTCTAGTACTATAATAGAATAAGAGTGGTGAAAGTTGGTATCTTTAACTTGTTCCCAAAACTAGGGAGTGTTATGGGCCAAAATTGTGTCCCCCGCCCCCATTCTTATACTAGATTTCTAACCCTCAGAGCCTCAGAATGTGACTTCATGTGACTTTATTTAAAGACAGCGTCTTTAAATTTGTAAATAAATTAAATGAGATATTTAGCGTGGGCCTTAATCCAAAATGACTAATATCCTTATTAGGAGAGATTAGAACCATGGGTACCTGGGTGACTCTATCAGTTAAGCCATACAACTTCGGCTCAGTTCATGATCTCACAGTTCATGAGTTCAAGCCCTGTGTTAGACTCTGTGATGACAGCTCAGAGCCTACAGCCTGCTTCAGATTCTGTGTCTCCTATTCTCTATGCCCCAACCCTGCTCTCACGCTCTGTCTGTCTGTCTCTCTCTCTCTCACTCTCTCTCTCAAAAATAAACATTAGGAAAAAAATTTTTTAAAGAAGAGATTAGGAAACAGACTCATAGAGGGAAGACTGTCAAGATACCACAGAAGATGGACATCCGGAGGCCAAGGAGACAAGCCTCCTAAGAAACCATCCCTGTTAACACTTTGCTATAGCTTCTAGAATTATGAGAAAATAAGTTTCTGTTATTTAAGCCACTGAGTCTGGTACTTTGTTATGGCAGTTCTAGCACACTAATACAGGGGTCAAGCATCCATGCACTGTTTCACCATTATGTATAATGGTAGCTGTAGGTTTTTTGTAGGTGTTCTTTATCAACTTGAGAGAGTTCTCACCTATTCCTATTTTTCTGAGAATTTATATTTTCTGAGAATTTATATCATGAATAGGTTTTAAATTTTGTGAAATTCTCTTTCTGTGTCAATTAATGTAATTATGTGATTTTCTTCTTTAGCTTGTTAACACAGTAGATTATATTTGATTCATCTTCAAATACTGAACTGGACTTGCATCTCTAGAACAAATAAGTCTTTGTATATATTGTGTACATTGCTGAAATCTATTTGCTAATATTTTGTTGAGGAGTTTTGCATCTATAGAAGAATGAAACTGGACCACTTTTTTTTTTTACCATACACAAAAGTAAATTCAAAATGGATGAAAGACCTGAATGTAAGATAGGAAACCACCAAAATCATAGAGGAGAACACAGGCAGCACCTTTTTGACCTCAACCATAGCAACTTCTCACTAGACACAGTTTTGAAGACAAGGAAAACAAAAGCAAAAATGAACTATTGGGACCTCATCAAGATAAAAATTTTCTGCACAGTGAAGGAAACAACCAACAAAACTAAAAGGCAACCTACAGAATGAGAGAAGATATGTGCAAATGACATATTGGATAAAGAGTTAGTACCCAAAATATATAAAGAATTTATCAAACTCAATACCCAAGAAATAAATAATCCAGTTAAGTAATGGGCATAAGACATGAATAGACATTTTTCCAAAGAGGATATTCAGACGGCTAACAGACACATGAAAAGATGCTCAACATCACTCATCATTGGGGAAATACAAAACAAAACTACAATGATATATCACCTCACACTTATTGGAATGGCTAAAATTAATAGCACAGGAAGCAACAGGTGTTGGTGAGGATGTGGAGAAAGGGGAACCCTCTCACAATATTAGTGGGAATGCAAAGTTATGCAACCACTCTGGAAAACAGTATGGAGGTTCCTCAAAAAGTTAAAAATAGAACTACCCTTAAAATAGAACTACCCTATGACCTAGCAATTGCACTGAGAGATATTTACCCAAAGGATAAAAAATACAGATTTGAAGAAACACATGCACCCTGATGTTTATAGCAGCATTATCAACAATAGCCAAACTGGAAGAGCCCATTCATTGACTGATGAATGGATAAAGATATATGCAATGGAATATTAGCCATCAAAAAGAATGAAATTTTCCCATTTACAATGACATGGATGGAGCTAGAGTGTATTATCCTAAGCAAAATAGGTCAGTCAGAGACCTGTATTACTTCATTCATATGTGGAATTTAAGAAACAAAACAGATGAGTGCTCGCTTCGGCAGCACATATACTAAAATTGGAACGATACAGAGAAGATTAGCATGGCCCCTGCGCAAGGATGACACGCAAATTCGTGAAGCATTCCATATTTTTTCAGGTACATCAGGAGCGTCTCTATCAAGAATACAATTTCAGCAAGGCTGAGGGCCATCTGAAACAGATGGAGAAGATATATACTCAGCAAATACAGAGTAAGGGTATAGAATTGACTTCAATGAAGGGGGAAGTCACCTCCATGAAGAAAGTGCTAGAAGAATATAAGAAAAAGTTCAGTGACATCTCTGAGAAACTTATGGAGCGAAATCGTCAGTATCAAAAGCTCCAAGGCCTGTATGATAGCCTTAGGCTGTGGAACATCACTATTGCTAACCAAGAAAGTACCCTTGAACCATCCATGATTGCACAGTCTGGTGTTTTTGGCTTTTCATTAGGGAACAACTCCAAGTTTCCTTTGGACGGTACACCAGTTCGAAATCGGGGTGGTGGAGATGGAGATTTTCAGTTCAGACCATTTTTTGTGGGTTCTCCCACAGCTCCTGAACCCAGCAACAGCTTTTTTAGTTTTGCCTCCCCAAGTCGTGAAGTAGAGCAGCAGCAAATCTCTAGGAGGGCCTTTAAAGTGAAAAGAATTTAGCTCATTTTACAGAATGTTTCTCTGTTCACTATCAGTGGTCTCTTTTAGAAAATTATCTTTATTCTAGTTAGGGTAGGAGTCCCCATCCTCTGTGCTATTACATTTTTATGAGAAACTAAATGTCTATAGGAATGACTTTAGAGTCTGGCTTCTTTTTCTGTTTCCATTATTTAAGGGATGAGCATTATATTAAACTCAATTTTATTGTGAACTGTTTTCACCAGCAATGAAAAGGGTACAATATTATTGAGTGTCTTGTAGATCACCATTTGTTTTCTGTCTGGGTTATATCTGACTGGACTACATGTTTATGTATATGTATGTAAGCACCTGTGGTATATGTCTACATGTCACTTTGGGTTCTGGTATTTATGCATATATTTATGTATTTGACCTTGTATTAATTTGTTTGTGGAGGTGTGCTAATGTCAGTGAATGAGAGTACAATTTGATACATGTATGTCAAGTCTTATTATTTCTTTTTAAAATGACTCACATTGATAAAGTTATTTTATAAAGTTGATTTTTGGCATTCATTTTAAAATGAAATTACTCTTTAACCCTTTTGCCAGCAGTTGCCTTGGGCCTATTTAGGAATGCACTCTTACACAGAAAACTTAAACAATATGTTATTGATCTCAAGAGATTATATGAATTAAAATACTTATTAAAAGTATTAAATTAAATACTCATTAAAGAAAAAAAAATATGGGGTGCCTGGGTGGCTTAGTCGGTTAAGCGTCCGACTTTCGCTTAGGTCATGATCTCACGGTTCGTGGGTTCGAGCCCTGCGTCGGGCTCTGTGCTGACTGCCAGCTCAGAGCCTGGAGCCTGTTTCAGTCTGTGACTCCCTCTCTCTCTGACCCTCCCCTTCTCATGCTGTCTCTCTCTCTCTCCTAGAAATAAATAAATATTTAAAAAAAAAAAAGAAAAAGAAACAAAACAGATGAACATAGGGGAGGAGGGAATAAAAGAGAAAGGAAGCAAACCATACGACTCTTACTGATAGAGAACAAGCTGAGGGTTGATGGAGGGAAGTGGGTGGGGGGGTGGGCTAAATCGGCAGTGAGTATTAAAGAGGGCACTTGTTATGATGAACATTGAATGTTATACATGAGTGATGAATCACTAAATTCTGTTCTGAAACCAATATTACATTATATGTTAACTAACTAGAATTTAAGTAAAATTTTGAAACAAAAAAGTTTTGCATGTATATTCATTAAGGATATGAGTCTTTATTTTTCTTTTGTTGTACTGTCTTTATCTGTTTCCAGTATAATACTAGCTTCATAAAATGAATCTTGAAGTGTTTCCTCCTCTTCCACTCTCAAAAAAAAAGAAATGCACAAAATTAAAAGAAAAAGAAGAAGGGCACCTGGGTAACTCAGTCAGTTAAGCATCTAACTCTTGATTTCAGCTCAGGACTTGATCTCATAGTCGCCATTTGTGAGATCGAGCCCCAAGTAGGGCTTTGTGCTGACAGCTCAGACCTTGCTTGTGATTCTCTCTCTCCCTCTCTCTGCCCTTCACCTGCTCAAGCAATTGCTCATGTGCACTCTCCCTTTAGCGCACTCTCTCTCTCTTGCTCTCTCTCAAAATAAATAAATACTTACAAAAAAGAAATTGCATAAAATTCTTATTCACTTTTTCTTTCCAGAGAGAGAAAGTTCGTGAATGGGGAGAGGGGCAGACACACAGAGAGAGAATCTCAAGCAAGCTCCACATTCAACCTACTGAACTATCCTGGTGCCCAGTGTTCATTCGTTTTTAAATGTTTGGTAGAATTCTCCAGTGAAATTACCTAGGTTTGGAGAGTCCTTTCTTGGAAGTACTTACATTAAAAATGTAACTTCCTTAATAGTTATAGAGGGGGAAAAATAGTTATAGAGGTATTCAAATTATCTATTTCAAATTGGATGAACTGTGATCATTTTTGTTTTGTAAGGAATGGTTCATTCTATCTACATTATCAAATCTGTATTTGTAGAGTTGTACCTATTCCTCTCCTCTCATTCTATTTATTTTTAAACATGATGAAGTATTTAATTTCATTCTAAAGTGGAAGCGTTTTTTTCTTATAGTAAAACCTAAAACATACTTGTAGTAAAAAAAAAAAAAAAAAAAGTCATATACTAGAAAATAGAACCCCAAACAGGAAGCAAATCTAACCAATTAAGACTGTTAACATTGTAGTGAAGAACATTTCAGGTATCCATCTATCCATTGTCTATCTACACACAAACACACATATGTATATTTAAATACACATTTTTATATAAATGGAGTCATTACTATGCATACCCGTCTACAACCACCTCTTTCATTCAGCATGTATGATATAAATCTTTCTATGTCAATGTAGATCTGTATGTTCATTGATAACAAGACCTTTCATGGTGTAAATGTATCAGAATTTACTTACCTTAATCTAATATTTTAGTTAGAAAAAAGACTAAATTGTCTAGCGTTTTAATTCTATAAACAACTCTGCAGTGAACATCCTTGTGCATATTTATCTTACCACATCTGTGTGATTAACTCCTTAGAATTATGTCCTAAGAATCGGAAGAATAAATATAGTTAATATGTCATTACTTCCTAAAGCACTCTACACATTCAATGCAATTCCAATCAAAATTGCACCAGCATACTTCTCAAAACTAGAACAAACTATCCAAAAATTTGTATGGAACCACAAAAGACCCCGAATAGCCAAAGTAATACTGAAAAATAAAACCAAAACGGGAGGTATCACCATCCCAGACTTCAGCCTCTACTACAAAGCTGTCATCCTCAAGACAGTATGGTATTGGCACAAAAACAGACACATAGACCAATGGAACAGAATTGAGAACTCAGAAGTGGACCCAAAAGTATACAGCCAACTGATCTTTGACAAAGCAGGAAAGAATATCCAATGGAAAAAAGACAGCCTTTTTAACAGATGGTGTTGGGAGAACTGGACAGCAACATGCAGAAGAATGAAACTAGATCATTTTCTCACACCATGCACAAAAATCAACTCAAAATGGATAAAGGACCTGAACGTGAGACAGGAAACTATCAACACCCTAGAGGAGAAAGCAGGAAACAACCTCCTTGACCTCCACCGCAGCAACTTCTTACTTGACACATCCCCAAAAGCAAGGGAATCAAGAGCAAAAATAAACTGTTGGGACCTCATCAAGATTAAAAGCTTCTGCACAGCCAAGGAAACAACCCAGAAAATTAATAGGCAACCAACGGAATGGGAAAAGATAGTTGCAAATGACATATCAGATAAAGGGTTAATATCCAGAATCTATAAGGAACTCACCAAACTACACGCCCGAAAAACAAACAACCCAGTGAAGAAATGGGCAGAAGACATGAACAGACACTTCTCCAAAGAGGACATCCAGATGGCCAACAGACACATGAAACGATGCTCAGCATCCCTCCTCATCAGGGAAATACAAATCAAAACCACACTGAGATACCACCTCACGCCAGTCAGAGTGGCTAAAATGAGCAAATCAGAGAACTCTAGATGCTGGCGAGGATGTGGAGAAACGGGCACCCTCCTACACTGTTGGTGGGAATGTAAACTGGTACAGCCCCTCTGGAAAACAGTGTGGAGGTTCCTCAGGAAACTAACAATAGAACTCCCTTATGACCCAGCAATAGCACTGCTAGGAATTTACCCAAGGGATACAGAAATGCTGAGGCATAGGAGCACATGTACCCCAATGTTCATAGCAGCACTCTCCACAATAGCTAAAACATGGAAAGAGCCTAAGTGTCCATCAACAGATGAATGGATCAAGAAGATGTGGTTTATCTATACCATGGAATACTACATGGCAATGAGAAAGAATGAAATCTGGCCATGTGTAGCAACATGGATGGACCTTGAGGGGGTTATGCTGAGCGAAATAAGTCAGGCAGAGAAGGACAAATATCATATGTTTGCACGTATAGGAGGACTAGGAGGAACTTGACGGAGGAACAAGGGGGAGAAGAAGGGGGGAAATGGTGGGGGAAAGGGAGAGAGGCAAACCATGAGAGACTCATGGTTTTGAATGCTGACAAAAACTGAGGACTGATGGATGTAGGGGGGAGGGGGTATGGGCATAGAGGAGGTCACTTATGGGGATGAGCACTGAGTGTTATGTGGAAACTAATTTGACAATAAACTATTTGTAAAAAAAAAAAAAAAAGAAGTGAATGAAAAAAAAAAAAAAAAAGAATTATGTCCTAAGAGAAAGATGGCTGGTGTATTCATTTAAAATTCTGATACATAGGGTCAAACCACATCCCACAAAAATGCATTATTCCACTATCACATTGGAAACACCAAATATTATCATCCTCTTTTTCCCCTCTTTGCTAATATGATGTGTGAAAAAGGATCAAGATTTTTGGTAGTAGTTGTTGTTTTGCTTCTTTAATTACTGATGAGGTAATTTAATTTCATTCTAATTTAATTTCATTCATGATATGTTCATGTTTTGTCTTGTCACTTGTATTTCATTTGGAGTCACCTAGAAGAGGTAGGTTTTAAATAAATGGTTTTATCCGACACTCTGGAGGGTTAGTTTTAAGAATATGGAAAATAAGATCCTGGGGCACCTGGGTGGGTCAGTAGATTAAGCATTTTCCTTGGCTCAGGTCATGATCTCATGGCTCTTGAGTTTGATCCCCAAATCGGGTTCTCTGCTATCAGTACAGACCCCACTTCAGATTCTCTATTTCCCTTTCCCTCTGCCTCTCTCTCTCTCTCTTTAAAAAATAAATAAGCATTAGGGGTGCCTGGGTGGCTTAGTCGGTTAAGCGTCCGACTTTCGCTTGGGTCATGATCTCGCGGTTCGTGGGTTCGAGCCCCGCTCCAGGCTCTGTGCTGACTGCCAGCTCAGAGCCTGGAGCCTGTTTCAGAGTCTGTGACTCCCTCTCTCTCTGACCCTCCCCTGCTCATGCTGTCTCTCTCTCTCTCCTAGAAATAAATAAAATATTTAAAAAAATGTTTTAATAAAAAATAAATAAGCATTAAAAAAAAGCTGAGTGGTGATAAAAAATATATTTATAAAAAAAGAAAAAAGAAAAGATCCAGCTTTAATACCTGTCCCAAATGCCATAGCAATGTGATAATTTTACA